CCCCTAAGGTCAGGGACGAGACAAGGATGCCCACTCTCTCCACTGCTGTTCAATATAGTACTGGAAGTACTTGCAATAGCGATCAGGCAAGAAAAAGATATTAAGGGCATCCAGGTAGGAAAGGAAGAAATCAAGCTCTCACAATTCGCAGATGATATGATACTATACTTAGAGAACCCTAAAACCTCTACCAAGAAACTCCTAGAAAACAATAGGCTTGTATAGTAAAGTGGCAGGCTATAAAATCAATACCCAAAAATCCATGGCTTTTCTATATGCAAATAGTGAAAGAGAAGAAAGTGACATGAAGAAAACAATTCCATTCACAATTGTGCCCAGGAAAATCAAGTACCTAGGAATCGCCTTAACTAAGGAAGTAAAAGATCTGTACAAAGAAAACGCTACTTCAGGAAATAAAAGAGGACACGAGGAAATGGAAAAATATCCCCTGTTCATGGATGGGGAGAATCAACATTGTCAAAATGGCAATACTTCCCAAGGCACTGTACAAATTCAATGCAATCCCTATAAGGATAACCATGACATTCTTCAAAGAAATGGAGCAAACACTCCTAAAATTTATAGGGAACAATAATCCCCCACGAATAGCTAAAGCAATTCTTGGGAAAAAGAAAATGGGAGGAATCAACCTACCTAACTTCAAGCTCTACTACAAAGCAGTAATAATCAAAACAGCATGGTACTGGAACAAAGGCAGAGTTGCAGACCAGTGGAACAGAGTTGAATATACTGACATCTCCTCCCAAACATATAATCATCTAATCTTCAATAAGGGGGTAAGAAAAGTAAAATGGAGCAGGGAAAGACTCTTTAATAAATTGTGCTGGCAAAACTGGATGGCTACATGCAAAAAAGTGGGCTCAGATCTCTGCTTTACGCCATGCACAAAAGTAAGATCGAAATGGATTTATGACCTCAACATCAGACCGGAATCCATAATGTTTATTGAAGACAAAGTTGGCAAAACTCTCCATGATATTGAAGTTAATGGTATCTTCAAAGATGTCACGCCACTGGCCGAGCAAGTGAAAACAGAGATAGACAAATGGGACTATCTTAAACTAAGAAGCTTCTGCACCTCAAGAGAAACAGTGACCAAAATACAAAGACAGCCTACAGTATGGGAAAGAATATGCACCAAATACACATCCCACAAGGGGTTGATATCAAGGATATACAAGGTACTGGTTAAACTCCACAAGAAGAAATCACCCAACCCCATCAAAAAATGGGGCGAGGAAATGAACAGAAACTTTCACAAAGAAGAAATCCAAATGGCAAAAAGGCACATGAGAAAATGCTCTACATCACTAATCATCAGAAAGATGCAGATCAAAACAACAATGAGATATCATTTCACACCACAGAGACCGGCCCACATCCACAAGAACAAAAGCAACAGGGGCTGGCGCGGATGTGGCAAGAAAGGGACCCTCCTTCACTGCTGGTGGGAATGCAGGCTGGTCCAACCCTTTTGGAAAAGAGTATGGACGATTCTCAAAAAATTAGAATTTGATCTCCCATTTGACCCAGCTATAGCACTCCTGGGAATATATCCCAGAGAGGCAAAAAGGTATAGTCGAAGTGACATCTGCAATTGTTTGTTCATTGCAGCACTCTTTACAATAGCCAGAATCTGGAAAAAAACTGACTGCCCGAGAACAGATGAGTGGTTAAAGAAACTTTGGTGCATTTACACAATGGAGTACTATGTAGCTGTTAGAAAAGATGAAGTTATGAAATTTACATACAAGTGGTACTACATGGAAAGTATCATGTTAAGCGAAATGAGTCAGAAAGAGCGGGATAGATACAGAAAGATTGCATTCATCTGGGGAACATAAAGCAACAAAACGGGAGACTAACACCCAGGAATGGCTCAGATTGGTACCAGGAATTTTGCTCCATGACTTGAAGGCCAGCCACATGTGCTAGGTGAAAAGGAAGCTCAGAGAAGAGAGCACCAAAGAAAGGGTGTTGTGAAGACCCTCCCAGGGTGGGAGAGACGTGCTAAAAGTAGTCTATAGACCAAACACGATTGCCACTCAATGCCTCTCTGGCAAAACACAGTACCCAAAAGAAGAGAGAGAGAACAAGGGGGAATGCCCTGCCACAGCGGCAGGGTGGGACGGGGGGGGGAATAGGGGGTGAGAGGGATGCTGGGACCCGTGGTGGGGGAGGATGGGCACTGGTGGAGGGATGGGTACTTGATCATTGTATAACTGAAACCCAAGCACAAAAATTTATAAGTCTATAACTGTACCTCATGGTGTTTCACTAATAAAAAAAAGATAATAAAAAATAAAAAAATAAATAAAAATAAAATGTTCAGGATGGAATAGTTTTAAATGATTCTTTATGTTCTAGACAATTTTTTATGTTCAGAATTTCTCATTTCATTGTAATTTTATTATTTTGCTCATTTCATCATGTTTCTGATATACTCCATAACTGTGGACTTGTGACCTTTTGTTATGTTTGCTTTATATATTTTAAAGGAATTTTGCTGATTTATCCAGGTTCAGTATTTCATCTTCCAGGCCTATTATGTATTCTCAGTAGCTTCATGATTTTTTTCTTTAAGGTTACTATTCCCTCATGTTTTTCTTACTGTACCTGGGTTGGACTTATGTGTTACAAAAACCCAGAGGAAATTTTTGCTTGGTTGAGAACAGTTTGGTGTCTTTGTATCTGATTCTCATCTTGTTGCTTTCCTGTTTCTTTTGTATTTACATTTCAGTTGATCTTGTAATCGAATGCTTATAATTTGGTTTTCATTGTTTTTTAAACAAATGAATTTAAAATACTACTTATGATAGACTTCGTTTTTTAATATAATTTTATGGTTTTTAAGTTGTTCACAATAATTTATTACGTTCAGTATTCCAACACCAGTTCCACCACCATTACACCTACCCACCACCATTATTTCAATCTTTCACACCACCCCCCCAGCCTGCCCCGAAGCAGATCCTAAATGATTTATTTTGTATTGCTTGTTATGAATAACCCACTAAAAATGATCCAAAAAAGTTTTCTTAAGGAAAGTGTGTGTGAAGATTGTTGTGTCTCACCCTGGAACTGTTAAGCCCTTGTATAAGAGATTACTAACATATTTTTACAGGTTAAGCCTTATTGTGCTATATTTTTTTTTTAAATTAGGATGAGATCAGTTGTCTTCTGCTTTACACTCCATCAAATGTGGTGTGCTACTCTTTGTACATCAGTGATGTAGAGTATGAGATGTCACATGACCAGGAATGCAGCCATACCCTCCAGGAATTCTGAAATTTTAAATAGGGTTATACAGTTGGAGCTTTGGTGACTTTAGGGTCAGAAGGCACCTCTGCAGCTTGTGGCTCTCTTCTGAGATTTATTTATGAGTCTCTGGAACATAGCTGTTAATGAAATTCTATGGCACCAGAGGCAGTTTATGGACATGATTGCCATGCTCCCTTAAGAACAGGGAGATGGGGGGAGGTTGCCCATTCCCTACTCCATAAGAACCTGGAGATTTTGGTCACAAAACCCACTACCTGAGTTTTTGAGGAGGTACATTCTTATGCATGAGGCTTGTCCCGAGACTGTGGAGATTGTCAGTGAGCATGTTAACGATTCGGTTCTGGGGGTTTTTGCCTTCTGGGACTCTGTTGGGGCAGAGGGATACCCCAGATGAGACTCAGCCAGGTGCGGAGTCTGGAGGTATTTCTGCACAGCTTGTGCTTCTCTTATGAGATTTACTTGTGAGTGTCCAAGTTCATTTTATTTTTACCTTTGGCACTTACTCATTTTTTCTGCCCTATATGCCCCTTTTGCACCAACTATATTCTTTTCTCTTTTGATTTATAAAAATATTTTTAATTTTCTTTTTTTAACTTCCTGAGCTACTTTGGAATAAATAAATTTGCTATTCAATTTTTACTCATCACTTTTAGTACGTATACTCCTTTATCAGTATCTAAAGTTAATGAATATCAGTCTTAAACAGTAATAATTTTCATTGAATTATCTTATTCTCTTAAAAAGTTTCCTTCCATCTTTTAAAGATGCAAGAGTATAGGACTTAATATAGTTAGCCTATTTTTTAGCCAGAGTGTGAGTGAAAAGGAAGCTGCGTGAAACTTCTAAGTGTATTTACATTTTTCTTCGGTGTGTTTTATTAATAACAACTCCTAAGCATTATGATTATGTAAAATAAATTGTACTTGTACTATACATAAAGAAAACACCTACACTAAATAATGTGCAACTTAATTATACTGTGTAGTTTTAAATCAATTTATGTTACAAACAATAATTATATTAGGTATTATAAACTATGAAAGTCTAAATATGTGCTTAATGAATGCATCATTTATTATCCCAGAATCATTATTTGTCCTTTTCCCAAATCTTGCTAGTACTGACATCTTTGGGCAGAAAAATGTTCTTTTTTTTGGCCTTATGAAATATTGTCTTTGACATTTTATATTTCTAAAAGCCAAAACTTCATTATTCTGAATAAAGGAATTAACCTGAACCTAGAACCTGACTCTTTTTTTTTCCCAATTTACTGTTGTTCATTTGAAACAATGCTTTAAAAAAAGGAGGAGGAAGCAAGAAACCAGAGAGGTAATATAGTGGGTAAGGTGCTTGTCTTGCAGCACCCAACCCAGGTTTGATCCCTGTCCCTGCCTTCCTATGTCTCCCCCTTCCCCAGCCCCACTAGGAGTGTTCTCTGAGGGCAGAGATAGGGTAAGCTCTAAAGCTTTGGGTTTGATACCAAAGCAAACAAAGAACCAAAATAAACATTGTTATTTAATTTATTCTATTCTAAAAAGCTGATTTTTATAATTATATTTGTAATATACATTATATGATACTATATTTTTGTTTGATTTAATGTTTGTATTGTATGACTGAATAGCAAAAATGAGTTCTAATACTTGGTTTCTAATAATGAATTATCACAATTTAAAATATTTCTTTGCTGATTTCAGATGTCAACGGTGTTCTAATTTGAAACCAATACAAAACCTAAATTCCATTGTTGATAAACGATCGTGGACTCCTTCTTCTGTGGCAGAAGGTTAGGTATTCTTTTATTCTCTACAATTTAACTCTATGAAAGGTTATGCCAACAATTATATTTTTGTATTTGTGAATATAGTACAACCAGAACAAAGGCTGAATTAAAGTTTAGATGTCTTTAGCAAAATTATTAACAGTGATTTAAATAGAAATACAGAAATGTAAATGTTTAAAATACTCAGAAACTTAATTTTAGGTGTCTAATAATATCTTGGGCTGGAGTGATAGCATAGCCAGTAGGGTGTTTGCCTTGCACACGGCCAACCCAGTTTCGATTCTTCCGTCCTCCTCAGAGAGCCCGGCAAGTTACCAAGAGTATCCCGCCCGCACAGCAGAGCCTTACAAGCTCCCTGTGGCATATTCGATATGCCAAAAACAGTAACAACGTCTCACAATGGAGATGTTACTGGTGCCTGCTCAAGCAAATTGATGAACAATGGGACGACAGTGCTACAATGCTAATAGTATCTTAATCATCACTTATACTTATATAATTTTTTGGTGTTAATTATTAATCATTAGTTTGGTTTCTGGAAATTTTTGCCATTTTCTTTACTCTTGGGATATAAAGAATTATAAATATATCTGTTAAAAATTTGCCCCATAGAATTCTAGCTGGAATAAGCATCTTTTTAATATCTTATTCTTAAATGTAGTTGCCAAACTTGGATTAAAGCCTTTTCAGAACAGGTATAGCATTGCAAAAGTTCACATCCCTTTCATTTGTCTGCACTTCTGAATAGTGAAGCAACATGTGTTTACCTGTACTTTTACATGGACTAGGTTCTATGTACTAACATTAGCATGTCTTCTACAATGTCAGTAGGCTTTGTACTTTTAAAGACCTCCTTCAAGCTTACTTTGGGTGTTTTATTATTTTTTTTCCATGCAGGAATTCCCGCCCCACCCCCTTATGTTGGTTCTTCCCTTCAACTTTACTGCTTTGTTTCTCTTGCTCAGTAAATATTCCGTTTTTCCAATACTCCTTTCAAAGCTGGAAATACTGCTCTAAGTGTAGTCTGGGCAATTCAGAATATATAAGAAAGCCTTTATTTCCCTAAAACTGTTTTCTGCAGCTGTAAGCCTGACATTTCACCTCATTGATGTTCATTTTCTATATTTTGGTTTTGTTTACTTACTCTTTAAGCCAGCTATTCAAGACTACTATCTCCTATTTTTCTCTGTGTTCTGGAAACCCATGTTATTTTCACCTCAGCTTTTTGCTTATCAAACTTAGCCTGCCTAGCCTCTTACTAATGAAATTCTTTTTTTGTTTACATAGTTTTTCATAGTATGTTTTATGTTTATCTTTCTTGGTTTTAACTCATTGTTATGAGGCAGTGAAATCACTTGAATCCTTAAAAATCAGTTCCTCTGTATCGTCAATTTCCGTATGCTATAATTTATTTTTTTTCTGTCATCTTAAAAATTAGTCTTCCTTAAATAACAGTTTCACTTATGGATAATAATAATATACCATTTTATAAACATATGGAAATCCTTTCATTTTCAGACATAGCTCAAGTTCATTTTAACTAAATTATATGATTTAGAATTATATGCTTTTCCTCTAATCTTACCAAAGTGTAAAATCTGTGATTCTATTATTTTGTTCCATTCAACTCGTTGGGTCTCTTAGCACTGTAGCACTGTCCTCCCGTTATTCATTGATTTGTTTGAGCGGGCCCAGTATCATCTCCATTGTGAGACTTGTTGTTACTGTGTTTTGGCATATTGAATAAGTCACGGACTCTTAGAAAATAAGTTATAACTTTGCTTATGTACAAAGAGGAGAGATATGTTGCAAAACTATATATATCAGCAGCCAGAAAGATAGCATAGAGAGTAATACATTTGCCTTGCATATGGCTAATTCCAGTTCCATCCCCGATACCACATATGGTCCTATGAGCATTACTAGGAACTAGCCCACTGAGTCAGAAGTAAACCCTGAACACCACCAGTTGTATCCCAAACCACTGTGCCCCCCAAATATAGAAATAATATAGATACAAATATATATAATATGGGCTGGAGCGATAGCACAGCGGGTAGGGCGTTCGCCTTACAAGCGGCCAACATGGCCGACCTGAGTTCGATTCCTCTGCCCCTCTCGGAGAGCCCGGCAAGCTACCGAGAGTATTCGATATGCCAGACACAGTAACAACAAAGTCTCCAATGGAGACGTTACTGGGCCTGCTCGAGCAAATCGACGATCAACGGGAGGGCCTTTACCTTTACCTTTACACAAATGTTAAAATATGTATACACACGCACACACATACATATAGATCTAAAATCTTGAACTGCATGTTGTAATTTTTAGAACATAATGGTATTTGTAATTATTGTATTTTTGGATTTGGGATCAAAAATTATACTTCACTGTTTTGGGATCTCTCTGGTACTGCTCAGGGAGCCATAAAGTGCTGGTTTTAATCTGGGCTCTCTCATACAAGGTATGCACCCCAACTCTTTGTGCTATCTCCCTGACTTCTCTAGTATCTAAACTTTGTCTTTAATAGCACTGTCCTATCGTTGTTCATCGATTTACTCGAGCAGGCACCAGTAGCGTGTCCATTGTGAGACTTGTTACTAATTTTGGCGGACAAAGGTCAGCAAATTTTGAATTTGTATTTCTTAAATATATTTTCATATATTTTGTCTAAGCATCCAGTTCAAGATACATTATTATTTTATCTGAAAAAAAACTTTACTCATTCTGGCCTGGAACAATAGCAGAGCAGGTAGGGCATTTTCCTTGCACACGGCTGACCCGGGTTCGATTCTTCCATCTCTCTTGGAGAGCCTGGCAAGCTACTGAGAGTATCCTGCCTGCACAACAGAGCCTGGCAAGCTCCCAGTGGTGTATTCTATATTCCAAAACAGTAACAAATCTCACAATGGAGATGTTACTGATGCCCACTTGAGAAATCAATGAACAACAGGAGGACAGTGCTACAGTGTACTCATTATTCAGTGTCCCTATATAGGTATCATGTAATATTCCAAAATGAACCTTGCTAAGTGAACCTAATATTAGGGAGAAAATCTATTGAGTTGTTTTAGGGAACAAATTTGACAGGTATATATCAGCATATAAAAAATTTAACTTTGATTTTAAAGAACAGTAGATTGATGGGGTTTGATCTTTTTTCTAGGTTTTGATCTTTTTTTCTTCTTTCTTCATTAGTGCTTGGTATTGTGCCCCTCCAACATGTGTTTGTAATGACATTTACTTTTGATGATGGAACAGGAGTATTAGAGGCGTATCTCATGGATTCTGTAAGTAACAAATGTACTAAAGATATTTTCAGTAAAAACATTATATTTTCAAATTTTAATTCATCAGCCTTATCAGTAAGAAGATTTAAGGGAACAGAATAGATAAAATATAAGCACATTTTTCTTAAATTATATATTTATTTCAATGTAGCACTATAAATTTTTTATATCCAAGTAATGAAAACTTGAGGAATAAGAAATTGAGAAGAGAATCTTTTGATACTCTAAAGACAGAGGCATAATCATTCCACTTAAGGATTATCAGCAATTCACTTTTACATTAGTGAAATAAATTAGTAGGGAAGTAATTATTGAAGCTGAGAACCTATTCAGAGAACTGTTCTCATTTCTGCCAGTTTTGAGTTTGGGGATTCTCAAGACTACCCTAACCTTTTATAACGGTACAAAATTCCGAGTTTCTGCAAACTACCCCTAGTTTCAATAAGTCATTAAAAAGCTTGTGGATCTTGCAGAAAGGATCTGCATGTACTACAAGTTTTTAATTGTAGTTTAGGGATATTTATTGCAGTCATCCAAGAGAAGAGATCAGAGTGCAGAATCCAGGAAATTTTCAGACTTTCTAAATGGAGCTTCTGATTGTACTCCTCCTCTGTTCAAGTAGACAGGTTTATTTTTCAGTCAGTAATATGAAATGAAGTAAGTAATGGAATATTGTAAACCAGGCAAGCTCAGTCAAACCGTTATGTCCAGATTTAATCTTGGGGTTCTGTCTTGAAGTTGAGATGATTAGCTTAGCCCATGTGGGCTAATCTAAACTAAAACTAAAAGGCTCAAGTCTCTACCCAAAAACTGCTTTCCTCCAACTAGACAAAGTTTGTCTAGATTGGGAGCAAAAAATTCCTCCTACTTAAACAATTCATTGACCTATTTATTATAGTATTGAATGAGCACCTGCTGTCAGGTAATTTTCTATGTGACAGATATACAGAAATGATGGAGAAAGCAAAACCCCTTTCTCCATTTAAGAAGGTATAATCTTCCAACTGTGGACCAATCTCCTGGCCCTTGTTTCTACTGCCTTGGGTATTTGAGGATTGATCCAGTTGGGAGTGTATCTACCTCAAATGCTGGAGGAAAAAGCAGTTGGGATAGATAAGGGACCACTATGACAAAGATAGTTGGAAATGATCACTCCAGATAAGAACTGCATGCTGAAAACAGGTAAAGAAACAAACATAATCTCTCAGTATCTGTAATCCAAACCATAATGTTCTGAGGGTCAGAGTGGGGGGGGGGGGGGAGAGAGAGAAGAGAGAGAGAGAGAGAGAGAGAGAGAGAGAGAGAGAGAGAGAGAGAATGCCTGCCAAACAGATAGTCTATAGGGAGGGTGGCAGGAGGGAAACTGGGGACTTTGGTGGTGGGAAATGTACAGTGGTGGAGGGGTGGGTGTTGGAACACTGTATAACAATCAGCTTTGTAACTCTGTATCTCACGGTGACTCAATTAAAAAAAATAAAAGGTATAATCTTAAATAATCTTGATGAGGAGAAAATTATGTATTACCATTTTCCTGTCCTTCAGTCCTTTTTTTTTATTTTATAAAGTAGTTCACAGTATTTGATTACATACCGTATTCGAACACCAAACCCACCACCATTTTGGATGTTTCCATCTCAAATCCAAACCCCTGCCCCAAAGCAGAACTGAAATAATTTATTGTGTATTGTTTGATATTTAAAAAAAAAGGTAAAAATGCTTCCAAAAAGTTTCCTTCATGCACAAAAGTGTGAAGATTGTATTTAAACCAGGGGCCATTAAGCTCTTCTATAAGAGGTCACTAACATGTTGTCAATGGTTGAGTCTTGTGTGCTTATAGATATACATATACACACACAGACACAGACACACACACACACACATAAAATGTATCTATAAAAAAATATTTCCCTCTAAGATTGGTTGCCTTCAACTTTAAACTCCATTATATGTGGTGTGCTCTTGGAGTATTAGTGGTGTGAGGTATGAGTTTTGACACGGCCACAAATGTGGCCATGTGGTCCAGAAATATGTTCACTTCTGGGTGAAACTCGGCCGGAGCATGTGGAGAGCAGCCATGAACATGGCAGTGGTTGAGTTCTGGAAATTTTTGGCTGTTGGGGCTAGGTCCCTTGGGACAGGGAGGGGTCTCACCTGGCCCCCTCCTGGGCACCGCAAATAAAACAGCCTGGTGGGGGGTCTGGCAATATGGTTATGGCGTGTGTCATTATATGCTCCCTTCCGGGAGAGAAGGACATGCGATCTGGATGGTGGCCAATGACGAGATTTTCTGGTGCCAACCATAGGTGGTTTATGGCCTTGACTGCTGAGTTGCTGGAAATAGGAGGATGCGAGCAGAGGATCCCCATTCCGGTTCTGTTGAACCCAGAATTTTCAGTCACAGAGTCCTGCATACTTGGGTTTTTTGTGGGTTCATTCGTGGGTGAGGCTGTTACACTGTTCTAAACTTAGCTGTCACTGTCCTCCCATTGCTCATCGATTTGTTCTAGTGGGCCCAGTAACATTGTGAGACTTGTTCTTGGCATATTGAACATGTCACGGGTAGCTTGCCAGTCTTTGCTGTGTGGGCGAGATACTCTTGGTAGCTTGCTGGACACTCTGAGAGGGGCGGAGGAATTGAAGGCAAAGGAATCGAACTCAGGTTGGCTATGTCGTCCGCATTCAAGGCAAACATCCTACCTGCTGTGCTATCACTCCAGCCCCTTCTAACCTTAACCTAGATATATTTTTTCTATAGACATAGAAAGTATATAGAAGCCTTATTATTTTCTAAACTTCATTTTCATTACAAGTTAAAACAATTAACTTTATTTATGGTATATATATCTGTATATATACTATATATATGTACATAAATATATATATATATATATATACAGTTAAACCTTAAACAACTCAGGTTTGAAATGCATTCACATCTGCTTATATGTGAGTTTTGTTGTAAAAAAATGACAAATTTTAAAAAATAGTACTGTTAACGTGTTTTTTCTTTTTTTTTAAAGCACGTCCTATTTTCTGGCTTTATTTGATAATTATATGATATGTGTAATATTCCAAAGAGATGTTAATTTGTAATTATGTTCTTAAGAAGATCAGCAGGCTACTACTACGTAATTTTGAAGGAAATCAAGAATTGCTAGCTCTGGAGTAGGTTGTATAGCAGTATATGTAAGGTTCTTATGATTTTACATTAAAGTTGTAAATGGCTTTTTTAGATTTGTCAGTTTATTGCAAATTTTCTCTTACTCATTTTTATTTTCCCCATGATGGAACTCAAACCCAGAACTGCAAAACACGTGTCTGCCACCATGACACAGGCTCCAAAATTTTATTTTATTTTTTTGCTTCTTGGGTCACACCCAGCAATGCTCGGGTTATTCCTGGCTCTGCACTCAGGAATAACTCCTGGCGGTGCTCGGAGGACCATATGGGATGCGGGGGATTTAACCTGGGTCTGCTTCATGCAAGGCAAATGCCCTCCCCGCTGTTACTGCTCTCCAGCTACGGCTCCAAAATGTTGGACTTCAAAGTTGCATCCTATAATTTATCCTGCACAGCGGTAAAGCGTTTGCCTTGCAAGCAGCCAGCCCAGCCAAGCCTGGTTAGATTCCTCCACGCCCCTCAGAGAGCCCGGCAAGCTACCAAGAGTATCTCACCATCACGGCAAAGCCTGGCAAGCTACCTGTGACGTATTCAATGTGCCAAACACAGTAACAACAAGTCTCAACATGAAGACGTTACTGGGCCCGCTCGAGCAAAACGATGAACAATAGGAGGACAGTGACAGTGACAGTGACAGTCTTGATAGAGTGAAATACCTGGAGCGATAGCACAGCGGGTAGGGCGTTCGCCTTACAAGTGGCCAACATGGTCGACCCGAGTTCGATTCCTCCGCCCCTCTCGGAGAGCCCGGCAAGCTACCGAGAGTATTTGATATGCCAGACACAGTAACAACAAAGTCTCCAATGGAGACGTTACTGGGCCCGCTCGAGCAATTAAGTGATAACATACTTTGTATTGGTTCTGGTTTTTAAAAAGATATTAAAACTAGTCCTTCTTCCATTGTTCTTTTAAGGAGAAATTCTTTCAGATCCCAGCCTCAGAAATCCTAACGAGTGATGACCTTCAGCAAAGTATGGATATGATCATGGATATGTTTTGCCCCCCAGGAAGAAAACTTGGTAGGCAGTCCAATTAAACCATATCATTCATTCTTTTTCTTGAAATAGAACTAGTATATGTCTAATTAAAATTTGAATCCAAATCCATTGCTGAGGGGTTGAATGATGTTTTTTGATGAAGATAGTGGCAGGGATAAAATAAAGTACGATTTTTGAAATGAAAATATTTTCAATTATTTTATAGTAGAAAGTCTAATAAAAGTCTACTTGATGCTGTATTTTGTACAAACATTTTAGTTGAAATAATCCCGACTGGGATTTTTTTTGTTCAATTTGGTGGCCACACCCAGCTATGCTCAGGACTTACTCCTGACTTTGTCCTCAGGCATCACTCTTGGTGGGCTCAGGGGACCATATAGAGTGCCAGAGATCCACTGTACTATCTCCCTGACCCTCTGGGATCATATTTTTGCAAGAAATATTTCCAGTTTATGTAGTTTCATCCACAACTTTCAGTATTCTTTCTCTCTCTACCACTGCCCTGCTTTGGGGCCACACCCAGGGGTGCTTAAGGTTTACTCCTGACTCTGCATTCAGTGATCACCCTAGCAGGGCTTTTTGGACCATACCTGGGTCATACACATGCAAGGCAAGCACCCTACCTGCTGTTCTGTCACTCCAGCCCCAGCTTTCAGTGTTCTGTATAACATTTTATTCCTCAGTCAGGTCTACACGTCAGAGTATATTGGTAACCACCCTTTGCCACTAGCTTTTTGCTGCTATTTTTATATTCATCTTGAATCTTACAGATGAAAAGCATTTAAAACTAATTTGACTCAGGGCTGGAGAGATAATGTAGTGAGTAAGGCGCTCGCCCCATTTGCAACCAGCCTGGGTTTAATCACTTTCATCACACCCAGTCCCCCAAGCAATGCCAGGAGTAAGCCCTGAGCATAGTCAGGAGTGGCCTAAAAAATTTGCTTAAAAAACACTGACTATTCTAGCATTTTATTCATCAGGAACAGAATTGAACAGCTACAGATTTAGCTGCTGTCACTTGAACTCTCGTATGTTTTTCCTTTTTTTTTTTTTGGTTAGGCTTTATTTTTATTTTCTCATAGTAATTAAGACATATATAACAATTCCAAAATGATAGATTTTGTACCACTGCAAAGTTTTACTGTGCTTTTGTTTTACCGTGATATCAGTTTTAATTCTGTAGGTTGTTTGAATTCTTTTGGATAGATTTCAGAAATAAAATGGCGATGTCAGGAAGCAGAGTCCTGGTAGACATTTTTGTTTGTTTTTGGTCACTCTCAGCACTGTTCCAAGCTTTTTCCAGGAGGGATCATTCTGGCTGATGCTTAGAGACCCCATTCTGACTCTGTCGATATTGACCACTGTATTAAATGTCCCCAAATCGAAAAACGTTAAGAAAACTTTCTGGAAATTATAAATCGATTTACTATGGTCTTGACCTAAGTTTAGAAATGGTATTTACCACTGCTGAAATTGTTAACACTGTTAGCCTGGTGTTTGGGGAACCTTTAGTTGGACAGTTTAAATTGATTTAAATTTCAGGTTCACTTTCTTTGCAGCCAAGGGTGGTAGTACTGAAAACCAAAAATTAGTCAGACTTGCTGAAAAATAGTAGAAACTCAATGAATATTGGTAATGATACTTGTTAAGTTTCCTAAGTGTTTTTATTCACATTTCAATCTAAATTAAATAGGCTCATTTTTCTTGCTAACCTCCATATGTCAATTATTTACTTGATTTTAATGGGTAAATAACATTTTCTCTCTGACTTATAGATGGATATCCATGGTTGGAGTGCTTCATCAAGTCATATAATGTCACAAGTGGATCGGAACAGCAAATTTGCTATCAGATTTTTGACACGACAGTTGCCGATGATGTCATATAATATTTATAGCCATTTCACTTTGCATTTGTAAAACACCGTCATTTTAGGGAACATTAAATTTTATATGATTGCTATAAAATATGGAGTTTGCTTCATTTTGTTCGCATTCCTACCTGGTGGGGAGCTTTTTTGTTACTCTGAACTTGAAAATGCCTTTCCTATCACTTTTCCAGTATGTCAGTCTCTGATTTCTCTGCTAACCACTAACCTTTGTTGAGCTTCTTTTGGTCCTTTTGGGAGGTGGGAGGGTGAGGAGGTAGCAATTCAGCAATAATGATGGTATTGTGAGTGTGGGAATAGAAAACACCCTTGGCTTAAATGTTTAGCTTTTATTGATAGCAAGTATGTAGCATTTTCTGGTTTTATTTGCTGTGTTTTTATATGAGTATCTGCTAAAACATTTCTTAAGTAGTTGATGGTTGTCAGTGAGCTAACATTGAACTTTAAAAAGTGATTTTTGGGGGTTGGTTTCTTGTTTTTTTTGTTTTTTTTTTTTTTTTGAGGGCTCACATCCACTGATGCTCAAGGGTTATTCCTGACTCAGCACTGAGAAATTACAAAGGGTGGTGCTTTGGGTGAACCATATGCGATACTGGGGAAGGAACTTGGGTTAGCCACGTGCAAGGCAAGCACCCTATTGGCTGAACTATCTCTCCAATCCCCTTCCCTACCCTGTTTCAAAAAAAAAAAAATGAAAAAGCAAGTAGAAGAATTGCTTTTTTGGGCTACTGGTATTGGGAATGAATGGATTTTTTCAAGCCTAAATGTGTGATTTGATGTTTTTCCTCATAATAAAATTCATTTAATTCCACTGTAACCTAATAAAAGAGAATTTCAGTAAGTGACTTACTAATATCATCATTTCTTTTTATAGTCTTGCATAAAATATACTTATTTCAAGTTGAAAACTGAAAGATGTAAACTCATAATAATACACTTTTTTTAAAAAAAATTTGACAATGTTTATAAAGCTTAAAGTCATGAGTATTCGGTTTTATATAAATATTATTTGATGGGGTCGATATTTATATAAATACTACTTGAAGCATACTACACAGTCCCCAGAGACTACTCCTGATTCTGTTCTCAGGATTCACTCCTGGCAGCGCTCAGGGGCTCATGCTGTACTAGAGGTCATACTGGGACCACAGCATGTAAGACAAAATAAATACTTTTGTATATTTATGTGTATGGGTAGATTTATGGTTACACAAATGTATAGATTTGTATTTCTTAATGTGAGATAAATATCTGCCTAATTCAATATTAGTTAATAAGTAAATGCATTTCTGCCATTTCACTTACTTGCCCTATATTGATTCAAGGCATGATTTGAGGCAAAGAATAAAAGTCGATGTATCAGTATAGCAGATATCTCAGACTACCTACACACCAAAAGCTCTGTAAAATACCTTTTGAGTTTTACAATGATCCATTTCCTGAAAAGAAAACTGAGGTTTGGTTAATGATCTGATGACACAATTATTTTGTTTTTTTTGTTTTTGGTTTGGGGGCCACATCCAGCTATACTCAGTGTTTACTCCTGACTCTGCATTCAAGGAATTGCACTTGGTGGGTTTGGTGAACCATATGGGATATTGGGGACCCAGAAATGCAAGGCAAGTGCCCTACCTGCTGTTTTATTGCTCCACCCCCAAGATGAAACTATCCCAAGATGAAACTATTATTAAATGCAAAGGAGTACTTGGATTCAGATCTGAGAAATAAACAGTCAGATTTTGTTGTGTGTGTAGGGAGTCGTAGGTCGGGAGTCAGGCAGGGTAAAATCTGAATCCCACCATGGATGCAATTTCAGTATCCGTGGCATGCTAGTAGGAGAGCACTGTTCTCTTTAGGAAATGCTGAGAACAGGTTCACCTTAACAGCCCATGCCATCTCCAAGTAATAAAAAGTGTGTGCAACTCTTCTTGGTGATAGATTGTTTCTGTTTCTTCCCTATAAATCCCCACATTGTCATCATTTTGTTTGTTTTGTAGTTTTTCAATGTTTAACAAATGTTCTTAGTATTTATTCATTTAGGATGTATGCACCTTTTCCTACCGAGGAATGCTGTTTCTACAGCAGCACTATGATGGACTTCACTGAGCTCCATTCCTTGAAATAGCGATGCCAACAAAAATAAAATCTTCTGGTAAGGTTTAAAATTACATAGACTTTAGAAATTAGTTTTGTACAACCTCTGCCTCAACTTTTATTCTCCGAAGCATCATTATTTGCTTTCTTTCTACTTTTTCTTTTTTTAAAAAATTGGAGCACCATGAGATACACAAAGTTGTTCATGATTGGGTTTCAGTCATACAGTGTTCCCATACCTGTTCCTCTTTCCTTTGGGGCATTATGGTTTTCAATATAGATTCTGAAATTTTATCATGAATATCTCTTTACCTCTACCTCCTTTCAGCACTCAGTTTTTGGTGAGGACAGTAGAAATGAGGGCCAGAGGGAATCCATTATTTTAAACTCTGTGAATTATCCCTTAACCTTCACAGTGTGCCACAGGAGAAAGAGAATGTATGTCTTAAACACATCTGTTCTAGCTCACTATTTTTTATCTCAATAGAATAATGCAAACACTGCTTGCAACCTCTTTCCTGAAGCCCCCTTCCTTTAATTCTGTTTTACTCCAAGGAATTGTACATAACAAGATGCAGTGTATCTTGTTTCTACTTAACCATAGTCAAGTTACACAGGAGAAGTTGTTTCTAAATGAATATAGAAAGTCTGGTATTGATGAAAAAGAGGAAATTGAGTACATTCCTATCTACCTGAGAAGCAATCTTCAGTCCCCACACAATCGGGCACTGACTCCCCAGTCTTCAATTGATATAAATTCTGTGTAGTGCATCATTGTAAGTTCTAGGAATGGGCCAACACCTTTTTACTGCTCACTTCTTCCTAATCCCTGTGCCTTCTTGTTTCCAAAGTCTAAGCAATTATGTCATTATTTATGTTCTTAATTCAGCCAGTTCTTTGGATATCAGGGGGGAAAGCTATATTTTTGTGAATATTTTAAACATTTTGAATTTTGGCTACGCATTTTGTTAGAGTTCTTTTTATCCAGGAAAAAAAAAAAGTTTAATAGAACGTACATTTGTAAGAATTAAAAAAAAAAAAAGAATTTAAAGCAACATTTAACAAATGATTTTGAAGATTTTGAAGAAAGAATTTGAAGTAAAATTAAACAAATTTCTGCTCTTAACAAGTATACCAAGAAAAACTGCTTTTAACACTGTGTAATATTTTCCAGACTTTTCACTAAGGACATGTAAATGTGTATATGCATAATTTTAATAGAATTATGCTATGAAACATATTGGTACAACTTAGTTTTGTTTCCTTAAAATTTTAATGTATGTTGAAATAAAAACTTATTTGCATTTGCTCAGCATAAGAAGACTTTTATAATCAGAGAACTCTCTGATTATGTACCACTTTCTATATTATAAAAGTGAATTTGATCTAAAGTCTCATTCTTTGCACTTTTGAAATGTTTTGTAAAATATACCTATGTAATGTTTTATTGAGTTATCTTAGTTGTTACATTATTATTTTAATTTGCTTTTCTTCCTCATAAATCTGTGCCCTCTGGGACCTGATTTCACTATATTTTTTGTAGGTTTTCTGCTATTCACAATTTTGGAGACCTGTCCAGATTTCCTAATATTTATTAGGACTCTGCTGTGACAACATTGTCAAAATATTCTTTTATACTTCAAAGAAAGTGTGGGAAAAAGTTAATGTAAGAAAGAAGGCCTTCAACCTTGTGAATTTCCCTGTTACTGGGAAATTTAGATTGTGTGAAGGCAAAAGTCACACTTTTGGAACATCATTTTAGGTAAATTAAAAAATGTGTCTGCTGATGGCCCCAACTCTCCAGGATCACTGGATTGCCTCAGTCTCCTATCCATTCCAGAGGGGTCAAAAATGGACAACTAGCCAAGTAATAAAACCTGGGCATAGTGATCTTTCTCTTCTTTATAGTGCTTGAAATAATATCCAACTCACTAAGCAGGTACTAGCAGTGTGCTTCGGTATGCGAGGTCATATATTCTTTCAGTGACCAGGAAATGAATCAGTAGCACTGTGTATTATTTCTCTCTCTGCAGTATTATGATTTAGGCTTAGGAAATTCAAGATCACTTAGGATTTCAAAGTGATGATCATCTTTCGTGGAGATAAATGTCCCTTCCTTTCAGGACTGCATTTGATGAGTTGAGAAGTGTTAGGCATCAATTACAATGATAAGGGTAATCCATCAACGTATATGGAAGCCTTCCTGCAGATGTGCCATTCGGTGAGACATGAACGGTTCAGACAGCTATTTTTAGGTTATACTATCATCTTAATGAATGTCTATTTGTTTCCTTTGAAATTTCGGCCACAATGTCACATTGATATTGTCAGGAGAGTGGAGAGTGCGGGTGTAGAGGGAGGCACTTGCTTTTATTCCTTTTTCTATGTAAGTTTTCTTGGCAGGATATTCTATTAGAATTTACTTAGCAATTTAGCCCACAACAACCAAAAAAAGATATTTTCAACTAGTCTGAAAATTTGAAACATTTATTGAATATTTTTAAATTTTTACGTGTTAATAAAATAGTCTATAAAAATATTGCTATAGTTTCTAAACACAAGCACTTTTTCTTATACAACTCGGAAGCTCTGTAATAAATAATCTCCTTTTCATGATTTTTTTCCTTTTTAAAATATAAAATCCCAGATAAAAAATAAAAAGCCAAGATTCTTCACATTTAATTCTGTTCTGAAATCTGTCCTCCATTATAGAGCAAAGTATTCTAGCAAAAGCTCTTGCCCAGTCTAGCCACCTTACATTGACTTTCTGTCCCAAATGTCAGTAATGGTTATGACAAAAGATAACATTTTAAAATAAAAATTAGTAACTTGTGGAGCCAGGTGAAAACCTAGCATAGGGTAACTAGGCATGACTGTGCTTTCATTTGGTTAAGTGAGAATTCCCATGTGCATGTTTTCTACTAGATCACTTGATCACTTGACTTCCCGTTAATCATTGATTTGCTTGAGCAGGTCCCAGTAGCATCTCCACTCGTCCC